AAGAAAACTTCAGGGGATATTTTTGGTTTAATGTTTAAAGATTCATCCACCCTCCATGGCTCCAGAAAATCTGGATCCATGAGAACTTGAAATTCTGTTCCGCATTTTTTCCCCCTAAAATCTAGAAGAATTTATAGATTCTTTTATAGACTCTTTAATCAAAATGGTCAGTTGTGGTAGCTGGGCACCATCCAGTTCTGGTCTCATGGCAAAGGGGCCAGTTGTTCATGGAGGCAATTAGCCACACATTCCATACTCTCCTCCTATTCCTGGCTCTCCTTCTTCCTCTGTTGCTCCTGGTGAAAAGAAACCAATTATTGTGCCTTAGATGGCCACTTGTAAGCTTTTAAGACCCCAGGCGCTGTGCATTGAACTAAGAGGTAGAACAGAAGCACTAAACACATTATTAGGCCAATTAACTGGGATGTCCCCTAAAACCACGACCCTAAACCTCCACACCAAGGAACCAAATCCCATGAGGTGTTTGGCGGTACATAGGCAGCCTCGCCAGCTTTTTTGTTGTTGTTGTTGTCATTGTTGTAAATACAAGGCCAAGTCTTCTTGTCAGTAATAGGGAAAGAGCATAATGCTTCAGTTCTGGTACCTACCAGCCATAAGATTTTAGGGAAATCACTCGATCCACTGAGCCTCAATTTACTCACATGTAATACTGGAGAAATGATAACCATCTGACAATATTGTTGAGCTTGGACATTTGAGTTTAGATATATTTTTCAGGACCTGGCACCTCCAATTATCCCTCTTCATGTTGATGTGATTTGTTCATCGAAGGTTCCCACCCCACCTTTCCAGGCCATACACTGTCTGCCCTCAGGCTTTACCAAGCTGCTCACTTAGCGTCCTCCCACTGTGGGACTTGACCAGAAGGACGCTCATTCTCCAGCTCTGTTTCATCTCTTATTCTGTAGGCTGGGGGAATGTGCTTCACTACACAGGTGTTTAGATGTGTATCTTTGATTTTTATTCTCTTTTTTAAAGGAAGTAACAGACAAACAACTAAGGTTTCTACTTCACTTATTTATTGGTAGATATAATTCTTTGCCCAGTATGCTGATATTCAATTTTTTTGGGGGGAAGAAAAGAACTAACTACGAAGAAAGTCCAATGATATTAGAAACCAGAGATATTCTTGGGGCCAGTACAAAAATATTAATTTAATATTGCATTGATTTTTGGGGGACTTCATTCCAAAATGTATGGATAAAGAAGCTCATTATGGCTCACATAATGCTGGAATATCTACCAAGCCGTTCCAGTGTTTGTGGGTTGCTAAATGCAGTTTGCTTTAGTTAATGAGGAATTTAGTGCAGTGAGGGGGGAAAAAAGACCTGTAGGTAAATTCTTTGCTCTTATTAACTGACTCTAAAAGAACAAGTGGCAGCAAGCCCCACCTGACCTTTCCATGCCTGGGTTTACACTTGTCTAGGACAGAGAGCAAATCCCTTTCTCACTTTCCATTAGTCACCCACGCAGGGGAGGCTGTGAGGCTGCTCAGGATGCCCTGTGTAAGGAAGGGGGCTCAGAATTCTCATTTCTGTGGATGCTTGTGAACTACTTACCCGTGGGATCTATTCTCTGGACGTAGTTGCGCTCTACCCACGGAGAGCTGAAGGAACTGATGTCCCTAGAGAATAGACAACCAAAGAAAACTCTGTATTATATAAAGCTCTAGTTTAAGCCCCATAAAAATTATAAAGCTTTATAATTGATAGAGCTCGGCTGCTAAACAAAACGTTGGCAGTCCAAATCTACCAGCTGCTCCTTGGAAACCCTATGGGGCAGTTGTCTCCTGTCCTATAGGATTGCTATGAGTCAGAATTGACTCGATGGCCACTGGTTTGTTTTGTTTTTGGTTTATAATCGATACCACTGTGCCTTGGTCATCTAGCGCTGCTGTAACAGAAGCACCACAAGAGGGTGGCTTTAACAAACAGAAATTTATTCTCTCACAGACTGGGAGGCTGGAAGTCTGAATTCAGGATGTCACTTCCAGGGAAAGCCTTTCTCTCTCTGTCGGCTCTGGGGGAAAGTCCTTGTTCTCAATCTTCCCCTGATCTAGGAGCTTCTCAACTTGGGGAACTCAGGTCCAAAGGACGTGTGCAGTCCTGGCTTTTCTTGGTGGTAATGAGGTCCCCCTGCCTCTCTGCTCACTTCTCTTTTTTATATCTCAAATGAGACTGACTCAAGATACAACCTAACCTTGTAGACTGAGTCCTGCCTCATTAATATAACTGCCTCTAATCCCACATCATTAGCATCATAGAGGCAGGATTTATAACACCTAGGAAAATCACATCAGATGACAAAATGGAGGACAACCACACAATAGGGGGAACCATGTCCTCGCCAAGTTGACACACATTTTTGGAGGACACAGTTCAATCCATGACACACTGTTTGATACCAATACTCCTGATCAGGTCTAATGTCTGAACAATTATGAAGGCTATAAGCTTTGTCTTTGGGCCCCTGGTCTCTTTGGCTATTTTTTATGAAGCCATCACTCCCTCCGCAGTGCTTTGCTCCATCTCCACCCCGAGGCCCAGCGTGTCTGTGCTCTCCATCACTACTAAAGCCTGGTTCCTGGACAGACTCTGAGTCCATCGGTGCATACTTCAATATGAATCTTAAAGTCAAAGATCAGAGGTACTCAAGTATTATGCACGAGGCCTAGTTGTGAAATGGAAGGTTTTCTTATGGTTAATGAAATGTTACCTGTTACCCACCCATTGCTGTCGAGTTGATTCTGACCCACAGTGGCCCTATAGGACAGGGTTCAACTGCCTCATAGGGTTTCCAAAGAGTGGCTGGTGGGTTCAAACTGCTGACATTTTGGTCAGCAGCTGAGCTCTTAACCACTGCGTCACCAGGGCTCCAATGGAACGGTAGGCACTCGCAGACTGGTGTGGGAAAGTATATTACATCGGGGAGGTGAGGAGGAGGAAGTAAGGAAAAGAGAATAGTCTGCCTAATGAAATCACTGAACATATAATTAGTGAACACCGGGATACACAGTTTGACGAACTGAGTTATTTTGGAAGGACAGTGGAATAGAATATTAGAATTTAGGACTGACTTTCCTGGAAGATCCGGAACACATGATGCTATGGTGGGGAAGACCACCCTGTACTGCGGCATGCCCCGGTTTCTCCGCTCGTCATCCCCACAGTCCCCACTGTAAATTACGTGAATTCTTCCCTCTGGAAGTGTACATCTTTTTTTTTTCTTCCCGTCTTCTCGACAGCTCTGCCAGTTCAGGCCCCACACTCACCCAAAGCTAAAGCAACACCAGCCCGGAAGTACTTTCTTTCTTGCTTGGGTAGAGAAAAAAAGTTTGTTCTGAATTTGGTGAAAATGGTTACCATGCTCGGCTGCTAACTGAAAAGCTGGAGGCTCAAGTCCATCCAGAGGCACCTTGGAAGAAAGTCCTGGCTATCTACTTCCGAAAAATCTGCCATTGAAAATTTTATGGAGCACAGTCTACTCTGACACACACAGGGTCGCCATCAGCCGGAATCCACCGGTCGGTTGGTAACTGGTTGGAATTTGACACTGTGACCTCCATACGCAATTCTTTAAGTTTTACGTGCTACCATTATTCAGATCATATATTGTGTGTTATCAGAAAAGATTTTCTTTAAGCTCTTCGCATGAGACCTACTGTAAGATTATGAAGTGTTATATTTAAATGCATGTCCCTTGGGTGGACCCATGCCATAAGAGGCCTCCTCAGTCTCATCAAATGCCAAAGGTACATAGAGATTTGCTTCCCTCGTCGTCGTTTTGTGATTTGAGGCAATAACGACAACAATACTAACCAAATATTAAGTAACATTTGTCGAATGCTTCCCAGGTACCAGGCACTCACCTGAGCATAACGTGAGTGAACATGTTGAATCTGCACGAAACCCGTTACCTTAGGAAGGGATGCACACTGAAGCCTGTACTCATCTTAAACTAGTCCAGGAAGATGTCAGATTATGTGCTGTGCCTTTTCCCTAGTTCATGGACAACTCTCCAGCAGGTAACTGCCAACATTAATCCCTATAGAGATCCCTACTTAGGTGCGACCCAGGAGCCTGAGGCCAACATAGACTTGTAGGAGAGCTAATTTAATCCTATTCATGGGTTCTGAAAACATCTTTTGTTAAAAACAATTGATGAAAAGCAAGTAAACAAGGGAAGTTAAATCATATCCAGAAGTCTCAGAAAATAATTAAACACTGAACATGACCTATTGAAGGCCAAATATGTCATAGTTAATACTAACTGAATGCCTGAAACACATTTCTAAACTACGCTTTGTTTCAGAATCCATCATAACTGGATTCTATTCAGTACTTCACTTAAAGTTTTTTTTTTTTTAATAAGAAGGGAGTTGATGTGCCTAGGACTCATTCTAATGATTGTTTTACTTAGCTTTTTGCTGTTCAAATCCAAGTCATTAAACCAAATATTTAGTAAGGAGCATGAACTACAGATCTCATCATAAACTGAGCTGACTTGTTCCTTATACAGTCAGACTCTGCTGAATAAACTTGCGCTTTGACCTCGGAGAATCTGGTATCACTTGCACCATGTTGCTCTTAGGGGGACTGGGCTTGGTCAGTGAGAGGTATTAGTTTAAGTGGCTGCATACAGACTTCGCCTGAGATGGATGAGCAGGCACTGGTGGAATTCAGAATTATGGGTTGAAGTGAGCAAAGATTTGTTAAAGACTTTAAAGCTTTGAAGTAGAAGATTTGACTGTCTCTCATCATAGCCAAAGAATGAGATTCTCTTTAACAAAAACATATATTGAGGGATAAGATAATTTAGGCTGATCTTTACCACCAGTCTCACCTTCTACCTATACAAAAGTCCTTTGAAGTCTGCAAAATAAAAAAAGGGTGAAGAAAAATTGGTCAATCGTGAATCGTTACTTAATGATTCATGAGGTGTAAGGTGTACGTCAAAGAAAGGGATTAAAAATATTTGATGTGTGCCCGCATCGACCGCACATGTGCTAAAACTGGAACAATACAGAGAGGTTAGCATGGCCCTGCACAAGGATGACACGCGAATTTGTGAAGCATTCCATAATTTTCTTTTTTTTTTTTTTTTT